GTGATTTTCGGGAAGCAAGGATCACTACATTGGCACTACAGCCCAAGCTGCCCCAGGAGCCTCAACCTATRGGCAATGGACGCTGTTAACGCCTCCTCCTCCTTTCCCCTATGGCAAACCTTAACTAGGGGAAAGTGAAATAWGAAGCACTTAATAATGTACCTGAGATACTGGCAGAGAACAAGCAAACAGGAAAATCACAGAACTGAACAAAGATTACTACAGATGGACCATGAGAAACATATCTATAGGGTTCATTTCCTATCCATATTTGGATGGGAACAACTCTTACATTGCCACTACTTCCAAGACTTCTAGTCAAAACTGCAGCAATCTTTCTTTCCAAAGGATGCTTATCTGGAAAACTTCCCACTAGCAATAAGGCTTTCACTTGGAGTTAGGGATTGAGCTTTTCAAGCAACATTGTTCTTTCTGCTTTGAAGCATTTATTCAGATCTTCTACACTGCGTACCTCTTCCATTATAGATTGTGGTCATACTGCAAAGTGTGCTAAAATATATTTTTTTTTTACGGGAACATGGTCAACAAATCCTTCAAAGAATAAACAAACAAGGAGTGCAATACACTGTCAAATTTTCACCTTGTAATGGCAAATGTCCTGAATTTCTAAACTAAATTATGTCTCCTGCTCAGGAGGCTGAAGTATATAATTCTGAGAGCTTCAGAAATAAGATAAACTTAGTTTCTGATGCATCTGTGCTTTGGAGACTACAAAAAAGGTCAGCATGAGATTTTTTTTCTGTCAGAGGGTATATCAGATTAGGGCTGATGCTAATGTCTCGCAAAAGAAAGCATTTCATCTTAGACCAGAGACTCATATCAATATTTTCTGACAAGTTAATTAACTTCTAGACTTTGATGTTTWGCGAAATTTCTTTGCAACAAACCATTGGCTCATGAACAGAAACACCATGTATGCATATTCACATGCAAAGACCAGTATGTTTAATACAACTGCTAAATACAACTTTGCATCTCTAAGAACTAATTCTTAGAAGTACACACACTTACAGCTTCTCCTGTGGATGAAAACAAAGAAGCATAACAAATATTTGCTAAATGATCTCAAACATTTCTCAGAACAATTTAATTATTTTTCTATTCCACTGAAATTTTTCAAATAATATTTTAAAAAGCTACATAAGCATTATTTATGGTCATAGTTTCTCTCGTTCAATAAAATGTGCCCATTTAAATCCCATCCGGTTGATTCATCTTTTTAGATCAGATAAACTTGCAGTGAACCTGGGATTCTTCGGGGTCTGTTCCAGTGGGCTGTTTTCAGTTTAAACAGCTGTGTTGTTACAATTTCTTTTTACATGTKACTTGAGGGTACCCATTTGCTTCACAATTAAGAGCATAGCACCTACAAATGTTCAGCTAACCAGATTGGTAATTGCTATGTTTGCTTTACACTTCCTTATATAAATAGAAAATGTTCCTCCKGAAACGAAATGGTTCAAAGGTTCAAACATTATCTTCCTAACTTTTCTCAGGTTACTCACTTTTTACTTTTCCCTCTGCTTTGTGTCAGGGGATATTACTGGTAAAGATTTGCATACCTCATGTTATTTCTTCTAGTGTCTGCTTCAATTAAAGCTTTTTCCTTTGTGGAAATAAGTCTGAAATATTTTCTCCAAAGCCAGAAAGCAAAAACTGAGTTTTAGAGCAAGATCATCAGTAAGAAAGAATCTTATGCTTGTAATAAACTGAAATAGAGTGAAAAATGTTATAAAATACACCTTACTAGGATTATTTACAATACTTAAGATCAGTATTTGGTTTTATTAGTTCTTATGTACATGTCTGAGATTCTCTGCTGAGAAGTTACTTTTGCTTTCACCTCTCCTAATATTTCTGTCCAGTTCATSTGAATCCCCAAATTCCCTGAAGATTTTCTTTAGATAAAATTAGAARCATAACTGCTTAATAAATGGGAGCATTCCTCTGTAAACATACAATACAATGTCAGCACTTCTGTCATCTGATTTCTGAGTGGAATTTAATAAATGAGCTGTGAATAGCTTATGAYCTGTCCCCTAATGTGGGATTCATCTAAATGTAGATGCAGCTGAGCCAGTCCCTCATTACAGTCAGAACAGATGAGTGACAACTTTCAGGATTTCCTTCATGCCAAAGTAGACATACTGCTTGCATTGCAAGCTACCTTTAGCCATGCAAAATTGGAGAAATTGCTGATTTTTCTCCATTATATTTTGTGAAGAAACTTAAGCTTAGATATTTAGCTCTATCAACAACCAAACCCTCACATAGATTAATACTGCCACAACCAGAGACTACTTACTTACTCTGAAACATGCCAGAACTTTCATTCAACTCAAGTTACTGCTTGGTCATGCTGTTCTCAAGTGAAGGCTCTTGAAAAGTAGCCAGTAAATGGCCAAAACTCTGGACTTCCCTCTAGACTTATGGGAAGTAATCCAGACATGCTGCCAAACTCATTTGTTCCTGTGGAGTTCCATGAGCCTCAAAAGGTCTTTAGAAATCAATTTCCTATGACAAAATCTATGACCCTGATATCTCAATCAAGGGAAATGTTAATTTATTGACAACATGAGAGAGAATATCCAGCTCAGGTGTTCTTTTATGGACCACCTGCTTGATCTGGGTTCAGTCACAGAGCATAAATAATTCTCTACACTGCATAGGGTTCTCAGGGAAGTCTATGAAGATAAAGCATCATCGACRGCTGCAATCATTGATGAAGAGGCATATTTACAAAGATCACTTTTTTGATTAAAAACTTGCTTTCTGTCTCACATTCCCATACTGAAGCCCCTGTCGGAAGTTCTGTATGCAGAACTAACATGATGTGTGGGTTACCTTCTTCTTGGGCTGATAATGCTCAGCAGCTGATGTGTCCCCAGAATTTTCATCAGCTTGGAAAGAATTTCTGGAACTGTACAGAACAACTCAGCTGGTCTATATATTTGGAGTTTGTTGTTAACCATCCCTGGCACATGAGCTAATTATAGCAGCGTTCAATAATGCAATGTTCACAAAGGAAACGGGAACACGGAGAGCGATGCTGCATGTCAGCACACATGATGAGAAGGCAAAGGTCACTTYGCAAGGCAGGTGACAGCAGCTCTGATGACAGCATCCTCAAACTCAGCACTGACATATGTGCCAAAGGTGGATTTGGCAGATGGCCACACATCACAGGAAGCAGTATTTTGCAYGGGAACAGACTTCAGAGTGATGTTAAAAAGGGCTTCAAGTCTCACTCCTGAAAGATAGGCTCACTTTACCCGTGCTCTTACAAATTATATGCTACTAAAATGATGTTCAGGAATAACATGGTTTTGATACGAGTCTATTTTTACTTTCTTACTTCCAAATTGATACAAGCATGACTTCTCCACCCCTCACCCAAAATAATTATAGTAGCAAAGCAGTCTGTGTAAGTAGAAAGAAATTGGRAATTTATGGAATAACACAGCAATTATTAACATTCATAATTTAAATTCCAYTTCAGTTATATAATTAAACAATTAGCAAAACAATCTGAAGGCTCTGAACTGTGGAAAATCCTGAGGAAAAAAAAAATACAAGAAGTTCTAATTGATATATTTTAAAAATTCAGTTGGCCTATTGTATTAACTATAAACAGTGATTACAAGGCACACCTGGTTAAAAGACTCCAACTCTTAAGCACACTAAGCAAGTCTAAAGTTGTATCCATTTCATTATGAGTYGTCAGTAACCTGSTTAAATYCAGCACTTGTAAAGCTTKGGTGCATACTAACACAYTTTCTAAAATTCRAAAAAGTTYCTTGGYAATAGTAGTTCTTTGACATATATTYTCTGTGTGTTTTAAGACTTGCAGCTGGTAGTTTTTCTATTAATGCTGTGAATTTCTTGAATTTAAGACTGTRTAAATAGTTTTGACAAGTAGTTTATTTTAATTACTTTAAAACAAAATGAACATCTCTGAAGGGTAAAAAATAAACATTTAACTACAGAAAATTTTTGTTGATTGCTATAAATTGTTTCTAGAATGTGTATGTTCTTTTACTATTCTTAATTCYTTCAATTAAGATTTCTGCATGTCCATTAGAATTGGTTTGGAATGGAAAATTCCACCCCGTCAGTGTCTCTCAAAGTAGATAAGCACACAATCTTTAGGGGTTTCTTAAATATCTAACATATGTAAATAAGGAAATGAACTTCCARCAGTAATTGAAAAGGGGCACCATTCTATAAAGGCAAAATTAACATAACACCTACCTAGACTTTTTTTTTTTTCTTTTAGAGCATTAATTATCTCAGTCTGAAAGAAGAAAATTTGAACATTGATGACATATGTCAGCAAAATAATCAAAATACTAAAGGAGGAGTAGGATTTCTATAATCATACATAGCATGACTAAGTAAAAAAGGAAAAAGGAGAAATCTATCCTAGTTTAAACCTTAGACGTGAGAAATAACACATCTTAACCTGAAAAAAGTACCCTGTATTGTTTGCCACTGAATAGCTCATCCACCAGCTAACACTGTTCTCATTCTTAGTTTATTTTCCCCTACAGAGTTCCTTCTGTAGGCCCTGTAAATTTAAGTATTTYTCATGAAGAGTGTTGAGATGGGATGCAGAGTCCCATTGCTCTGAAACCTTCCCTTTCTGAGARCTGCAGCGAACTGTAAGTTAGTGAAGCTCTGCACGTCCTAAATTACTGTGGGAAATCCACAAGCCCTGGGAATGAGCACAGCCTGAAACTTTATTGCACCTCACTTGGGATCATATAATTTTTTTCCTTCTACATTTCTTCTGACTAACACTCAGGTAGGTCTTAATTTATGGCCTATCAGTGTGTCTGAAAGAGCAATTTGGCCCTCGGTATGGGATAGGATATTCCAGGTTTAATGGAGTACATAAAATTCTGCTTTGTGCCCCCCTGAGCGTTGCGTGGAAGCCGTGGCTGGGCTTGGTGGACCGTGACTGCTCCGAGTGTACTTACTGCATTGAAGTTGGGGAAGAGATTCACTGCGGCGGCAGTGTCCAGAGGAAACGGGAGGAACGGCTTAATGTCCAGCGATGGCTGCAGGGGCGGCGCGGGAGGACGCACCAGGGCTGGAAGAGCRGGGCTCTGGCATGTACCACCTGCACGTGCAAACAGACAGAAGGCGTTCAGAGACAGCTCYGAGCACAAGGGGGAAAAAGCCAACACACACACAAAAATAAAAGCAACAATCAAAAGACAACATTGGATCAAATAAATGCATTTTCACTTGTCCAAAAATTACCACGTTACTGAAAAAAAGCACAGCTGACTCAGTGACTGAGTTGGTTATAATTTGTTGCCAACAATTGCTTTAGGTTTCAGTCTGTCATGATTAGAATTAGCTTGTAAACCATTTATTTCCATGAACAATAGTTCAGCACTTGTCTAACTTCCCTTAAGAGCTTCAGCTAGTCTCATTGTCCTATAATTTTAGGGCTTCATCCTTACCCTGTTGCTCAACCCTACAAAGGCAGATTAATCAAAAAGAAAAAGAACAACTTGCTGTTTGGCTCAGCAGAAGTCATGCCATTTCCAGACTCCTGATTTTTTAATTAAATGCTCATTCATGGACCCAACAGCTTCAGTTTCAACCTAAACCTCACAAATACAACATACCTTGCCACCTCAACAGTTGATCAAYACAATTTTAAAAATAACAGTTTCAGAAGCCACTGAAATTCTGTYTATGGGAAGGTACCGATGAGCACTTTCTGCTGTTAGCAAGGGGTGGAGCTGATTCAGACTGTGCAGCAGAAAGCTCCTCCCGGCTAAGCACCARCTCTGTGGGAACGTAATGCAAATGAAGAAATGCCCTAGCATACCAATAAGGCGCTACCTGTTTGCAGTGAGCCCTATTTAGCTTATTTGTTTGCCCCTGGCTACAGCCAGCTACATGCTGGAAGGATCCAAGTTCATTCTCTGCTTTCAATGTCTCCTATATTTTGGTTGCACTCCAAAACWTCAATTCCCTGTTAATTAAAGACTATTTGGATCCTAGGAAACTGTTAAAATATGCCAGTGTTCTTCTAATCTGAGAGGCAGGCAACAGACTGTAAAAACCTGCTGGGAAGAGTCCAAGAAACGTTGGGGGGAAAAAAATGAAAGGGGAGTTTTACCCTACTCACTGAACAGATACACAGGCAGACAGATCAACAGAGGGAGAGATCCGAAATCTGTTTCCTTTTTCCCTCTCRTACATACAGACATTTCATTAGACAAGCTGCATGCATCCTTGAAGAGCCCAAATACAAAGTAGTCAGAATGATATATGGAAACTCTCCATATTCGGCCAGCAAATTTGCTAACAAGGTTTGTCATGTTTTACGTCTAATTGAGGGCTAACAACACAGGACTTAATTAACCAGTAGTAGAAGATYATCCAAAGTTGTGCKTCTAGGTATAAAATCAGCYGGASCCAAATTTTGAAAGACTGTATTTTWTGCMARCTTTCAACTCCCCTGTGAARTGTTTCACTGAGAATCACTAGTAAATTAAAGGTAGTGGGTTAGGGGTCACTGCAGTCTCGCGATAGCTTTTCCCCTAGAATAGCTGCCATTTTTTGAGTAATTTCTACATTCTACCTCAATGTAAGTGTATAAGAAATCAGACTTTGAATGCAGCAGCTGACGATAGAGGCAACAGAAAAGCAGAGGGCAAGCAACTCTGCTTTCCATAGCTCACCAGCATAGAAGTATCAARTACTTGATTGCTACTGTTTTGGTAATTGCTGCAATCCCATGACATTATTACAAAAACAATGTAAAAATAAATTTAACAGGTTAGAAYGATGATAAGGTAGTGCTGAATATGCCGATTATACTACCTCTGAATAGGAAAGGCCCATAAAGAAACTTTTTTACATTCTGAAAATACTTACCTTTACCTATGTAAAACTTTTACGGATCACAAAAGGAAAACGTTACTCTTACTTAAAAAAAACAAAAAAAAAAAAAAAAAAAAAAAAAGGAAAAACAAACAGATTGCACCTGAGATTGTACAGAATCACACAGAAGTTTCAAGGTGAACATTGCCTGGCAATAGCAAAGAATTTGAAGCTGATTGAACATTCTGTAACTCACAAATGCAAGAGTAAACTGGAGCGAGAAATGTCACCTGTGCTTGGGGACACAGCTCATTGGGTGTATTATCCCAGTGCTGTGGAGAAGAGCTTCCTAGGTTYGGATTACCTGGAGCAGCAGCACTGGTATCCCATAATCATTCAAGATACCACGCCATGGAGGATGAAATATTTCTATTCTGTGATCCTTCCCTGTGGCATGACTCGGCACTCACGCACCTGCTGCTGCCAGCCAGCGCTATGCAAAGCCATCTGGGGACGAGAACAAGCTTTAAATGGAAAAATCCAGCCAGCTCTGCAGGACCTTGGCTGGGACTCTGAGCCTCTGGAACAGAGCTTAAAATCTACCACAGTCCTGGCTACAGTGGCACAGAAAATTAGTATGTTCAGGAGCACAGCTGCTATCTGTTTTTTCAATAATGTCAGACATGTCCCTAAATGATGGAGCATGTGAGAGGCACCATGAAATTTGAGCCTTTGCTTTAAAAAATATCTCTAATGTTTATGGTTGCAAAAATTAGCTTCTCTTTCCATTTAACATTCRCAGGTTGTAGTCTAGAATCTGCAACAGAAAAACTGAAGCAATGGCAACTATTTTYGTGACTCAGCTTAGCTTGGACAACCTTTGAGAATGCCAGTGTTAACTGTTTCACAGCTAATCCATTAGCAGAGGGGTGGAGAGGGGTAGAAGTCAGCTGGGAAAAGTTCTGGAAGAGCATACACAGAAAAAAATCCAAGTGTTACTGAATGGTGGATCACAGTGAAGAGCCATAAAGATTRCTTTTGACAGTTTTGACATTCTGCAGGATAAGCTTCTCCACAAAGACCTCCATAGCTTTCCCTGTGCAGATGCAGCACTGCTGATCAACACACAATTAAGGTGAAGGTACAATAACAGACTCTTTACAAATTTTGTATCAGCAAGGTTTGTATAATATTGACCAACAAAACTAGCCTAAAGTCCCAAAACACTGATAAGTTTTGTCTGCAGCCTGTGCTTGCTGCTCTGTATTATTATATTATTATTTTTATTATTATTATTACCTGAAGTTCATATATATTACTTTGCCTTTATGAGCAACACGCTAAAATTACTTAAAAAGGCAGGAAAATAATGTATTTTCTAATTCCAATCTTACAATTTAGTGATATTAGAGCCGAATGTCTTTTTAAGGAAGAGATTCAGATTCTAAATGGAAGATGAATGTTCAGATATTTGAGAAATCACGTCAATATTTTTACCTTCATTTTATTTGTAGGTAGACCAAGAACAATACAACTTAGAAGCTTAATTAGCTCAGCATTTTGACCAAGTGGGAAGTAATAATTTTTTTTTTCTTCAATTTTCAGACAATTTGAATCACAGACAAAATAATCTATTGGACAGAGGCCCTGGAAATCCATCCAAGGTAAGTGTGAGCATACAAGTTTGGAGAAAACCTTGCCACAAATGTTTGCCCCTTCCTATGTCACATAGAGACTGTTTTTGAGGGCTCTCCCAATGCCAATGTGACACAGCATTTTTGCACAGGAATGCAGTTCTGTGTCTCCAGTTGGAACTAACACTTTGCCCTATCACTGGGTAATCTGGGTTGCAATAAAACACCGTGCTCTGGGCACAGACAGCCTGTGTGCAATAAAGCCATGTGTGACATGAGGCTCCTGCTCTTGGTGACACAATCCAGTCACCAGGTTCTCCTTCTCAAACCACTGGTGACACAAACTTCATCACCACAAGACCTTTCTTGCCTGAACTGAGAGAATATGTCAGAAATAGATGGAAATTATTCCCTCCAATTCTGTCTCAAACTATCCATTCTCTAAGCAATTGGCACATTTTATTTGTTTTGAGTATTAGTGGGAACAAATAGAGTCCTTTTCCCCACTTCCCCTCCACTCCATTTTGTCTTTAGAGCCCACATTTCACTACAGAACTAAAAAAAAGAGAAACCTTATGTATTGCAAAATTTTAATCTTGTCTTAAAAWTTTTTTCTGGTGACAATTCTGTACAAATAGCTGACACCTTCTGGCAGATATTTTACTTTCAATGAAATGGCACTTACTGAAAAGAAAGCTCCCTATGCAAATTTTTGTGCCAGTTCACCTGAAATTTTCCTTGGATCAGTGTTAGGCAAAGAGTATAAACAGCTGTAAATACTGACCCTAAAATCTGGATTAAGAGARTTGCAAAGACTGAATATGCACAAAGGAAACCAAAGAAAATAGCCCTAGAGTAAACAGACATCATAGRGCAGAGTGGTTTTTACATACAGGATAATAAATAGTTTCCCTAATGTTTTTCAAGGAGGCCAATATCCCCATTCTTCAGGTTTCCCAACAAACAGCTCAACAATCTGGCAACCACCTATTGCTATATGTTCTGACTTGGCTGTAGAGGAATACAGGTTACATCTTTCTCTCTCTGCATATTCTTTCCTYGTGCACACYCYCATTCCTAATCCTTTAAATTTAACWRCAGATTTAGCTTMCAGAAAAAGAATCAYAAGATGTATCATCAAATAGTCTCTCCTAAGGAAGAATCCAGCTCAGATTTTGCAGACACAAAAATGTAGATAATTTTTTGCAATGCATTTGAAACTTGGAGGTATGTAAACTGGGCAGAAACTCTAAACTAATACCCCATTAATCTGAGTCTTTTGCAGTTCTTCCATCACTATTACCACCATAAACACTGAGTGAAAAAGCAAATCTCTGCAGAATTACATTTTCATTCCTTCGCTACTTTGCAATTTTTTCCTTTTAGCCATTTTRAATACAGCAAAGACATAAACTAAGGTACCATTTCCCTTCTTTCTTGGAGTCTGAGCTTGTTTTCAGGATCATAATRGGGTTACTTCAAGAGGTGGATGTTTTATATTCCATCTCACACCTCTCCCAATATTTCCATGATAACTTATTTGAGGTCAAAAAAATACATACATTCTGCCTTGGCAAAAGCTCAGAGAACCTTTCAACTGGTATGACTCAGTGTAGAAGCTGGGAAAGTACCACACATTTCC